CAGTAAGAGGCTTCTGCTTGTAAATGATCTGCGAGAGGCCTCGGATCCTCCCTGGAAAAGAAATCATGAGCAAGAAGGTCTTTGTGACAGCAGCAAGAGCAGCCTCGTGTTTCCTACAAGACCCACAGGTAAAGAAAATCGAGTTTCAAAGCACCAGAACAACTGTTCTGCAAGAATCTGTAGATTGTTGGCGGATTTCTGACCTCACCTTCAGTTGGTCATGACTCATTGTCCCAGAAATAGACTCTATTTCAGAAGTAGAGAGAACACTGGAAAAGCAGGAGGTTTTAGGTGCTTGTGGCTGTCGTACACAGGCAAACACAGACCAACCTCAGCGTGTAGGGTGCTCAGAGATCTTCATACATCAGCCTCGCAGCAGGTAAATTCTCATGCCACATCCAGGGCCTCATGACTGACCTTACAAGCACTGCCAGCATAGGCTCTACATACATATCCATATGCAGACGTATCTGGGGCTGGACTAGATAATCTTCTGAGGTCCCTTCCAACCCCTAACACTCTGTGTGAAAATCCCAGAGGAAAACTCACAAAGAATTTCCAGCAGCACCACTCTACACCCAGGAAAAATGAACCGGCAACACATAGTCTCTGTGGGCGTCCTGACTTGTGTGCCTGCAGCAAGGAACACCACAGCAGCAGCCAAAACAGGCACAGCTCTGCCCAGGGGTTATCCGCAAAATCACACAGATTCTCACACTCAAAACAAGAACACATTTGGGTCAGCAGCACCTTTGCGGCCTCATTTCACATGGAAATCCAAAGCCAAAACTTTCATACACCTCACCAAGGGCCCAGCCACCTGATCCAGGGCTCTGCACTGTGCACACGAGTCCTGTCACAACGCCGCCATCAGCACAAAAGACAGGACCAGCTGCCAGCCCCAACTGCCCCAGGCCAGGAGACCGATACCCTTTTTTCTGTGTCTAGATAAGGGTTAGGATAAGGCTCTCCAAAACACATGCCACGATTGCATTGAATTTTACATTTCTTCCCAGCATGGCTTTCCACAGTGACCTGTCTAATCTTCGTGGCAAGGGCAGGGAGAGCAAAAGAACGTCTCTAAAGCAATGGCTTGTGGACACAGAGGTCTCTTAGTTCGGGAGAGAGTTGACAAAGAAGAGGAGGGAATGAGTGTGGGAGGAAATGCAACCTGCCTGAAGCTCTGCCCCTGGGCTCTCTTGTAGAGCTTGACCTCCAAGAAGAAACAGTGCTTGTTCTGAAAAAAATTGTCTTGGGAAGTGGGAGAATAACTCAACAGAAGCTGCCATGGTTTTCTTTAACGGATGGGACACCAGGAAACTCTTTCCTCATTCCCAAAGTGACAACAAGCTCCGATGGTGTGGGCAAGAGAGAGCTTGGATCACAAAGCCCTTGGGTCCTGACCGACACTTTCCCACAGCAAGCGACGCCAGGCCCTGTGTCCTGCAGAACGCGGGCTGCTGAGAGCCCACGCCACACTCGGGGCTGCCCCGCTCGCTGACCGCCCCTGCCAAGGAGACCAAGCCCTTGGGCACCACCTTTGGTTTGGCAGGGCCTGCCACCTCTGGGCAGACACAAGGACAGCGCAAGGTGGAGCACTTCAGCCATCTATGACTGTGTAATCACCGCTGTTGACACAAAGCCTGTCGCTAGAAACAAAATTTCTAAACATAAAAGCCATCTAATCTTGATTTTCCACTGTTCTTGCAGTACCACGACATGGCACAGCCCGATAACAGCGGTGTCTCCAGCTGGAGTGTGGAGGCGCATTGTACCGGTATCATGTTTTTGTAACACTGATCTTTACCAAGTTGCGTAATGTTTGTCCATCTTTGTTGAGCCAAGAGTTGTGTGAAGGGAGAGGAGCGTATAAAAGGGGAAGACGGTCGGCACCAGCTCAGTCCTGGTCAAAGATGGCCAAGCTCACTTTGCTCACCGGTAAGTCCTGCTTCACCACTTACTTCTCTGCCTTTGTGACAAGTATTTGGGGCTCTTTCACTCTTACATTGGGCGGCTATACCGGTGGAAGTTGGGGATTAAAAATGCAGCACGCTTGCTTCTGTCACAGCAAAATATATAGTAGCTACCTTTGGAATAATTATATGCTGCACTACTTTTGGATTTGGGTTCTTTTAATGAGATATGCAAAATTCTAATTTAATTGCTTTATTAAAATGGAAAATTATCTTAGACCACGAAGATGACGCTCACCTTCAGAAGGAAAACTGGTCACTCTGATAGAGAGGCTTTTGCTGTCTCCACAGCAGACTGAGAACAGTCCAAAAGGCTTCTGCTGTTTCAGCTCTGCTTAGAGGCACCAAGATCAGCTGTTGCCTCAGCCTGGCTCAAAGAAGCAGCAGAATATTGAGCTGTTAATGACCATGAGCTCCTCCGTGTGCCTCCTTAGATCAGAATGAATTGTGACCCGGGAGACAGGTGATGTTGGGTTCACCCAGATCCTCATGAACATAAGCAAACCCAGGCCTGCTGAGAGAAGCAATTTTCTTGTCCGCATTACAGGATATATACCAGAGACTTTCTGCCAGTTCAGGCATTACCTTTAGTTCTCAGTTCTAAGAATAATCCCCCGTATTTTTCTTTAAAGGTCTGGTCCTCCTGCTAAACGCCCAGATAGGTAAGTGCTTTCTTCCAGAAAACACCCCGACCAACCCCTTTTCAGCACTGGCATATATAGTCTGCTCAAATAGGCGGCACAGCCAACACCCAAAGAGCCTTCCTCCTCCAGGCACCTCCCCAGAGATCCCTTCTGCCGCTGCTCTTCCCTGCGTGGCAGCAAAGGAGAAAGATTCCCTTTCGGGAAGAGACCCAGCCCCCAGAACCACCCTGATTCATGAGTTTAAGGGTGCAAGAGGCTCCTAGATCAAATCATCTACTGGAAGAAAGTAGCAAGGAAAGACACCCGGGATTATCCTTGGAGAGCCAGTCCGCAGAGCCATAAGCAACCCCACTTCACTTTCTCTCCACTCCTTTCCCTGCTGCCCAGTCGGGGCTGACATGACCCCCTCAGGCAGTTCCTGACTCCCAAGCGCAGCCCAGGGCACTGTTCCCTCTCCTGTGTGACTTGAGGGACAGCTCTAGACCGCAACGTGGCCTCATGGGCGAGGGACCTGCTCCTTCTGCATTTCAGGGACCTGTCCTCTCTGCTCTCCTGACCACATCTCCTCTGTTTCCCTGCAGGCAGTGCCTTTCTGCTGTCATGTTACTTCACCAACTGGGGCCAGTACAGGCCAGGCCTGGGAAAATACAAGCCTGACAACATCGACCCGTGCCTGTGCGACCATCTGATCTACGCCTTCGCTGGGATGAACAACAATGAGATCGCCACCATCGAATGGGACGACGAGACCCTCTACGCATCCTTCAACGGCTTGAAGAACCAGTACGTACCGAGAGCAAAGGGCATCGCTTGTTCTGCCCCGCAGGTCCTGCCACGTTATTCTGCACCTGTTCTGTGCACAACGGGAGCGTGACCCACGGTTGAGGGATGCTGAGGACAGGAGGCAGAAAGTGACGGGGAGGAAAAGGAGGGCACAGCAGGGCAAGCTGCCAGCATCCTCTGAGGGTGCACAGTGACACAGTCAGCTGCTTTCCTGCCTTTTGGGTTTTGCACCAAGAGATTGTGGCCACCAAAGGCAGCTCTCCCGTACTTTTAAAAAGAAAAGCAGAAAAGTCGTGCTTTGCGTTTGTCTCTTGTGTGATGCTAGAAATTGATAAGGCTAAGCATTCCTGGTAGTGAAATACATTTGTGCCCATTCATTTGCAGGAACAAAAACCTGAAGACCCTCTTGGCAATTGGAGGATGGAATTTCGGGACAGCCAAGTAAGTTTAAACCATATCTCCTTCCCATAACAACTCCCTGGAAAAGCAGGGAGAGCAGGGAAGAGGCACCAACCAACCCCTAACTCTGTCCTCCTCTCCACCCCAGGTTCTCCACAATGGTCTCCACTCCCGAGAACCGCCAGACCTTCATCAAGTCCGTCATCAAATTCCTGCGCCAGTATGAATTCGATGGGCTGGACATTGACTGGGAATACCCTGGCTCCAGGGGCAGCACACCCCAGGACAAGGGTCTCTTTACCGTCCTGATTAAGGTAGGCTGAGAAAACAGATTTTGGTCAAGCGCACATTTTGGCTCTGCACAGCTCTGGCTGCAAAGCCTCAGCCCAGAGAGCCTATGGTGAGTCCCATTCCTTGGCATCCCTCAGGAAATTCTGGAAGCCTTTGAGCAGGAAGCCAAACAGGTCAACAAGCCCCGTCTCATGATCACCGCAGCTGTTGCTGCTGGCCTTTCCAATATCCAGTCTGGCTATGAGATTCCTGAGCTCGGAAAGTGAGTAGCAAACCCTCAGGTATCGCTTCTGTAGCTTCAGGGGTCATCCTCTGAGCACTTCAGGGAAATGGGCCACTACCTGGCAGAAATCAAGCTCCTTGCATGTGGGGTCCCTACTCCTCTGTGTAAGGCAAGAGTGCCCTGAGAGTGGTGCTTGGCTGGGGGGGAAGGGGACACCTCAGAAAGTGAAGCGTAATGACAGCCGGGTTCCACCACTCCAAGCCATTTGGGATCACCTCTTGGTAACCAGAATACCAGTGCAATTCCCACACTGCTGTGACCTCTGCTTCCCTCCTCTGGAGCAGAGAGTTGGCTCCAGCACATACAAGGCCAGCTCAGAAAAGGACTCGAAGACACTAGACTTGCAGAAAGTGGGGACGTGACCGTGGGGTATTGGGGTAAACAGCCAGCACGAGAGGAACAGTCAGGTCTGGGTGACTGGCCAGGCCAGGAGATAGACGCAAGCGATGTTCTCCACAGGTACCTGGACTACTTCCATGTGATGACTTACGACTTCCACGGCACGTGGGAATCAGTCACTGGGGAGAACAGCCCTCTGTACAAAGGCCCAGCTGACACCGGTGCCTATATCTACTTCAATGTTGTAAGTGTACTTTCGCAGACTGGTGCACCAAGGATTATTGTGGCAACAGTGATGACAAGTTTATAAATTCTTCCTCCTGCCTCCAGATCCTGACACAGACTTTAACTGGGGTGGTTTTTTACAGGACTATGCAATGAACTATTGG